AAGAACCAATAGCTCTGTTTGGAAGAAGTGCAGCCAGAGTGCTCCTTGAAGGACAAGATGGCCAATCATTGTCTCTCATACTTCAGACATATTGTCAGGAGGGACCAGTCGCTGGAAAAGGATATCATGTTTGGTAAGGTGGAGGGTCAGAGAAAAAGAGGGAGACCCCAACAAGATGGATTGGCCAAGTGGCAGCATTGATGGACTCAAGTGTGGTAACAGTATTGAGGTTCGCCCAGGATCAAGCACTGTTTCATTCTGCTGTGCACGAGGTAGCTATGGTTTGGTACTGACTCGATGGCACCTAACAACAACAACATAAAGAGAAAGAATCATTTTTTTAAAAAATACCAAATGCACGTATGGTGATGGTGGTGGTGTTGGTTGATTCTAGTTGACGCTGACTCATAATGAGATCCTATATTCAACAAATGTAAACTCTGCCTGGTCGTGTGTCTACCTCATAATGGTGTTTCTATTTGAGCCCATGGTTGTAGCATATGTGTCATTCCATTTTGTTGAAATTATTTCTCTGTGTTGCTGAACCTTTATCAATTATGTTGCCATTTTCCAGGTACTGCTTCTGAAAATATGTCCAAAGACCATGGGCCAAAGCCTCATAATTAAACATGAAGATATTACCTTTGTAATTTAAAATCTTATTTCAATTTTCCCATACTATATAGGTGTATTGGAATCCTCGTGTGGTGCTGTGGGTTAGTGAGCCAGACTGTAAAGCCGTTTGAACTGCAAGGTCAGTGGTTCAAGCTCACCAGCTGCTGCTCAGAAACCCTATATTGGGTCGCTATGGGTTGGAACCAACTTGGTGGCGTGTAACAACAATAACATAGGTGTATTATTAGAAAATTGCTTTTGTTTTTTCATTTGTCATTGTTTGTGTTGTTCTATTAAGGCCTACTTCATTGATTTAAATTGCTATGGCATCAAATATCTATGCTAAATAAACATTGTGTGTGTGTGTGTGTGTGTGTGTATAAGAGCTGTCAAGTCTATTCTGACTCATAGTGACCCTGTATAGGGTTTGCAAAGATCAGCTAACAGGTTCAAATGGCCAATCTTGTGGTTTGCAGTCCAGGAGTCCAAATGAACTTTGATATCCCTCAAATTAATTGCCAGTAAGTCTATTCTAATTCATAGTGACCCTTCAGAACAAAATAAAACTACCTCATGGGATTTCTAAAGTTGAAATCTTTAGGTAAGCAAACTGCCTTATCTTTCTCCTATAGAGTGGATTCCTGTTGTTCTTATTAAGTGCCGTCGAGGTGGGTCAGACGTGCCGTGAACCTATATAGTGTTTCTGAGGAACGTCTGGTGAGTTTGAAATGTTGACCTTAGAGTTTTAAACACTATGCCATGAGGACACCTTTTACATTTATATCTGTGATGTTCATTTGGCTTCTTCTTTAATCCTATTTCTCTAGATGAGCAAGATTCTTAATAGAATTTTGGAATATTCTTTCTTCCCTAAAATTTGTAGATACCCATTAGTAATGTTCTATCATTCTTTGAACCTCCTTCACCTTATCTCACATGTTGTTTTATCAAGTTGTGCTCATGCAGAGCAAATCACATTAGGAAATATTGTATCATATGTTGAACACTGTACTTGATATTTTTTATTCATTTCTCATCTTTGCAATTTCCCTACAAGGTATTATGATGGGTTGATTATACAAAGGAACTCTTGAAGACTTTTTCAATAGTTGTAGATGTGTTCTCATTTGCAAGGCAAATGCTAGAGCTGGGAATAAATTCAGGTGTGTCTGAAGCTAAAAGACTGATTCTATTAGGGTTGCTTGATGTCATACATCATGCTTAGTGTTTAGAATTTGCTGTTGGTGAAACATTCTTTGACCAGGGCAATTTACTATCAGCAGAAAGATTTTAAAGAGCTTTACACCATCGGGAGTCCTTTAGAGACTTTTCGTAGATCATGGGTTCAAAGAATAATGAGTGTATACATCAAAGTGCACAGGACCTAGGCAATCTACTGTTGCTGGTTTTTAAAGATCCAATGATTATATTGTCTGCTAATTGATCCTAAAACAAGAAATTGGATTTTCCTGGACTTGAACCTGTCACACAAACTTGGCATTTCCATAGACGCCAGTGCCCGAGGCTTCCTGATACAGATTGTGATGGTCTTAATTAAAACATGGGAAGGAAGATATGACATTCAATAATTGATTTTCAAGATTTGTTTTTCCAACAGTGTTAATTATAAAATGAAGACAATGCATCAACATGTAAAAGGAACATGGACTGGATCAAGTTACTGAGTAGCAAGGGAATAGTTATTTTCATAATCTGCCACAAATAGGTAGAGAAGAGAGAAAGCCAGATCTCAGTGAGACACCCACGAGAGGAGATAAATAACAGGGAGACTAAAACTAGAAGTAATAATCAAATAATTAAAAAAATCAATCATACTCTTTGTTAGTTTAAAATTTAAAATTGTAAGGGTTTTTGCTTTTTGTTTTCTATTGCTTTTCATATAAAATTTTCAGTAGTAGTTAAACAGAAAAAAAAATGTATATATGTTTACTTTCTGGCTTACTCTCTGTGATATGTATAAGAGAAGCAGTTTCTAAAAATTTCTAAAGAGTCTTATTGTCTTATCTGGAGTCATGGTGTGGCACTTTAGGTTAATGTGCTGGACAAAGTTGGTTTGAACCACAAGGTTGACAGTTCAAAGTTACCAGGAGATGCTCTTTGGAAACCCTATACAGGGTTGCAATGGGTTGGAACATACTTGACAGAGCTTAACAAAAACAACATTGTCTTATCCAGTATCATGGTCATCTTTAATAGCAAGTCATTCATACCTTGATTCTTGTGTGACACTGTAGGAGAAGCACTGGATTGATCATTGCAAAGTTGGCAGTTCAAATCTACCAGTTGCTCCTTGGTAACCCTACACAAAGTTGTTATGAGTCAGAGCCAACATAACAATAACAATTTCATACCGTCACTGATAAGTACCTCACAAGCTCAACAAATGCCATGCTTCGTACTCGGTGATTTGTGCTGATTAAATGTATAAGTTCCACAAGTATAAATGCATTTGAGTTATCTACGTGTACTTTACTCAAGTTCCCTTTTCCCACTTAATGCTGACTAGGCAAACTTCCACTCCTCCTCTTCCCACTATTGTAGGGACATTCCTGCCAAGCAACCCTGGGTGACAATGCTGTTAGATTTTGTCTGTTTTATAGTAAAATTCCAATTAAGACACACCAACAAATTGCTTCTTTTTTTCTTAAGTAATATAAATATAATGGGTATTTCATACTTCTTCCCATTCCTCTGTTTTAGGAAAAAATATGTGCTTTGTATAATTTTTGTGGTTGTTAACTGCGACAAATTATGTTATGCTATGTGCTGTGGAGTCGGTCCCAACTCATAAGGACCCTGTACAGGGTTTCTGAGGCTATATATCTTTAAGGGAGCAGAAAGCCTCGCCTTTTGTCCGTGGAACAGCTGGTAGTTTCGAACTGCTGACTGTGAGATTAGCAGTCCTATTTGTAACCACTACACTACCAGAACGAGCACCATAGCACAAGTAGTGACCCTGAATAGGGTTTCCAAAGAGTTTCTGGAGTTTAACCATCCATGTCATAGTTAGCATCACAGTGTTTATCCTACAGTACCACAGCAGAACTTTCCATATAATTTTTGTTGTTGTTATTAAGTGCTGTCAAGTCAATTCTGACCCATAATGACCCTGTATAGGGTTTCTGAGGAGCAGCAGGTGAGCTTGAACCACTGACCTTTCGGTATCATATGGCTTTGCAGTCTGGCGCATTAACCCACAGTGCCACACCAGGACTCCTATGTAATTTTAAGGAGTGGTATTTTAATTTTCAACTTTTGAGAGCTAAGAGAATCTTATAAACATAATAGCTGTACCAGCTTGAGGTTTCAGGGATCACATTTCAATTTTGACATCAAGTTTTGAGTATGGGTCATGCTTTGATATTGTTACCTGCTAGATACTACCTATGTGGTCAGAAAGTAGATGTTCTTGAAGATCAGGAAAAATTCTTGAGTGTGCATTCAGTTGAAAGCTTTCAATGTGCAATTGATGGAACATATTGACCCTTGTGAACACCTGTCCTTTCCTACTCAGAGTCAGACCATATGGTTATAAGAGGTCCATACTGTTCTGACAATCTAACTTCAAATTCCTTACCAACTGTAACAAGAATACCATAAATCTTGCATTTCCAACTTACGCTTCTGCTAACTACATGAATAATAGAGTATCTAACTTCAGTTCTGAAGAGATAAATGCACAGAATTCTCTATGGCAATACTCCGAGTTCTTTTTCAACAGTCTCACTGGGATGATCATGCCAGTTACTTTATTTGTTATCATGATATTTATTATTTATTTGCTTTAAACTAAGTTGTTTGTTGTTGAGTCAGTTCCAATTCACTCATTGCAATTCTACACGTGTCAGTGCTCCTTACATATCTTCTGGTGTGGCTTTGTGGGTTAATGCACCAGACTGCAAAACCATTTGAACTGCAAGATTGACAGTTCAAGCTCACCAGCTGTTCCTCAGAAACATATTTTTATAGTTTTTATTTTCCTTCGATTTTCAGAACAGAGTTCAGAAAATACTGAATGTGAAATGAAGTATGATCTCATATTATGTTCAGGTTAGCAGAAAACTATGAAAAAAAGAATATTTAAATTAAATTTGGGAAAATTTGGTAGTGGAGGTGAGAGAAGGACATAGAGAAATGAGAGTGCATAAGAGGAAAGAGAAGAGAAAAGGAGGGAGAGAGGAAAAAAAAGGTGGATAAAGAGAATGAGGAAGGGAGAGAGATGCTCACACAGAGAAAACCACACACAAAAAATATTTATATCTCTTTCAGCTTACAATACAGATTAGAGTGCATCTTTGAAGTAATGTATCTTTTTACATCTGATTTGTATATTCCATCTTGTTTTCATCAGCATCATCAACACTATGGAAGCAGAAAACCTAACAGGTGTAGCAGAATTCTTCCTCCTGGGCCTCTCAGAGAATCCAGAAATGCAGCCCCTTCTCTTTGGAATATTCCTGACCATGTACCTGATCACTGTGACTGGGAACCTGCTCATCATCCTGGCCATCAGCTCAGACACCCACCTTCACACCCCAATGTACTTCTTTCTCTCCAACCTGTCCTTCACTGACATCTGTTTCAGCAGCACCACCGTCATCAAGATGCTGGTGAACATTCAGACACACACCAAATCCATCAGTTACACAGGCTGCCTTACCCAGCTCTGGTTTGTCATGGTTTTTCAGTGTTGGGAAAACTGTCTCCTTGCTGTAATGGCCTATGATCGGTATGTGGCCATTTGTCACCCACTGAGGTACACAGTCATCATGAACATCCAGCTCTGTGGTCTGTTGATTCTGCTCTCTTTGTTCCTTAGCATTCTGAATGCCCTGCTCCATGGTCTGTTGGTGTTGTGTCTATCTTTCTGTACAGACCTGGAAATTCCCCAGTTTTTCTGTGAACATGCTCAGGTCCTCAAGCTTGCCTGTTCTGATATCCTCCTGAATACTGTCATTCTCTATTTTATGATGAGTGTTTTAGGTGGTGGACCACTCTTTTGGATTATTTATTCTTACATCAAAATTGTCTCTTCCATCCTGAAAATGCCATCAAAACATGGGATGTATAAAGCTTTTTCTACCTGTGGATCTCACTTATCTGTAGTTGCCTTGTTCTATGGGACCAGTTTTGGGGTATATTTCAGCTCCCTGGCTAGTTTTTCTGCTAGAAATAGTGTAGTAGCATCAGTGATGTACAGTGTGGTTACACCCATGCTGAACCCTTTCATCTACAGTCTGAGGAACAATGACATGATGGGTGCTTTGAGGAAACTCATCTCTAGAGCATCTTCCTTAACCTAACGTGTCACCTGCTATCAGTCTAAGCAGTTGGAATATGCCAAATGAAAATAGTAGTGATTCAGAAAGCCTGACCAAATTATTTGAGTATTAGAATTACAAAGACTACTATGGTTGTTGTTGTTGAGTGCCATCAAGTCATTACAACTCATAGCAATCCTGTATAGGTTTTCCAAGGAGAGGCTGATGAGCTTGAACTGCCGAACCTACAGTTCAAACCAACCTTGAAGTCCAGTGCATTGGACCACAGTGCCACATCAGGACTCGTAGAATTGTTAAGGGTGAAAATTTGGAATCAGAGCATTTAGGTTTTAATTTCACCTTACCTGTGTAATTGTGGAATAGGCAATTGATATTTATTTACTGTTTTCTCTTAGCTCATTTTGAAAGTTCCTTTTTGGTACAAATGGTTTTCTTTTTCACTCAGATGGTAATCTAAAATTTAGTGATTCAAATTCTTCCAGTAATTACAAAAGTAAAGGCCTAAAAATCTACTTCTGTAAAGATTAATAGTAAGCAAACCCTATGGAATGATTTTACTCATAACATCATCTTAAGTAGGGATCAATTTGATGGAAACTAACTACAATAGTGATCTGTGTTGGAAAAAGTACAGCCAGAGTTCTCCTTGGATGCCAGGATGGCCAAATTTGTCTTTCATACTTCAGACATATTGTCAAGAGGGACCAGTCGCTGGAGAAGGATGCTTGGTAAGGTGGAGGGTCAGAAAAAAGATGAAGATCCCAGTGAGATGGACTGGCAAATTAGGAGCATTAGTGGGCTCAAGCGTGGCAACAATTGTGAGATAGGCCCAGGATCAGGCAGTGCTTCGTTCTGTTGTGCATAAGGTCACTATGAGTCGGTACTGACTCGATGACACCTAACAACAACAACAAGATTTGATAAAAAGAGATGAAGCCCTTAGTCCAGAAGTGGCATTCTGAATTCATACTTCTAGCATTCTTAATGGTGAAAGAATGAAATTCTGCTTTTTAAACCTCTGCATTGTTGTATTTCTGTTATTCTTTTATAGCAGCTCCAAGTAACTAAGGCACAAATACGTCCATACAAAACCACAGGGACATATTGCACAGATTCGTGTGGTGGTTTTTTCCTAAAGTGATTTTCTTGTTGGTTACCTATGGCTGGTTTAGCACAGGGGTCACGTCAGGCATAATCATCAGAGACAGAAACTAACTACTACTACTTTGGTCTCTCTAATCAAGAGACACACCATTTCACTCTGCTGTGCACAGGGTCACTATGAATCAGAACATAGTAGGTGGCACTTTACAACGGCAATCAAAGATGGACTTTGCAAGGAGTCATTCAGAAAATATCCAACATTAGGGCACATACCCCTTCTAAAACTAATTACTGGCAAGAAGAATTTCATTTTCTTGGAGGGACTAGATGGCTGCTCTGACCTAAAGTTCTCATGTGAGATCAAGTACTATGAAGATTATAAATGTTGAGTACAATGTCTGTCATCTAAGAAGTGTGGAATAAATATACTCATGAGTGTGGACTAGCATATTTTATTTCAAAAGGTACCATTCTCTTTCTCCTTTATTTTATTCCTTCTACTTTCCTATATTTTAGGTACTTGCTTCAGGAATTAGCCTAGTTTATTAACTTATATACATATCAGCAATTGATGCTTATGGTTGTTGTAGGACAGAAAAGAGAGAGTTTCTTTTTATTAAATCTTAAGCAGGAGAAATATGAGAAAACGTAAAACAAAATCATGGAGATGAGGAAGACAACCAGCATGAAGTCATTGTCATAGTTGAATTATAGTCCCTAGAATGGCGTTGCTATTGTTCCTAAGAATTAGGGTGGTTTAACACATTTATGTTTCTCAAAGGAAGCTAGAAAGACAAGAGGTGTAGGGAAATGAAAGATAGGTTTAATATTAGCATAGATATTCTTATAGAGAGCAGTAAGAATGGGTGTCCACCTTGCAGAAGGAAATGAGGTGAATACTCAAGTACAATTTGTTTTTTTTTCTTTATATATTATCAGGGGTGTAGGCTATTTTCTCAGTTCTAGAGCCAGGGAGATGATTTTTTGAAACCTGTTTTCTCAGGCTTCAACTTATCATTAAGTAATTTCATTTCTCCTTACGTTAGTTTCCACTCTTACCTATCCATACTTGCTAACTTTATTTCTCCTTGTAGTAGTATTCCCTTTCACCTATCCTTACTAAATAACTCTCTTTCCTGAAAACAATCTTCTTTGTCCCACCATCTCCCATCTCTGAAACTCCTCATTGCCAAGATTTGTGTATTTACTGCTGAGACAGGCCAGACCTACAATGACTTGACACCTCTTTCTTTTCTTGTTCTAACTACCTAATACTCTCTCCTGAGAGAATTGTTCTTGTTAAGAGACGGCAAGTCAGTTCCAACTCATAGTGAACTTGTATAGCTTTTCCAAGCAATGGCTGGTGAGTTTGAACTGCTGACCTATGGTTAGCAGTACAATGGTTATCCTATAGTGCAATTTTGTTGTTGTTAGGTGTCATTAAGTCAGTACTGACTCATAGCCACCCTATTCACAACAGAACGAAATACTGCCAGATCCTGGGCTAACCTCACAATTGTTGTGAAGCTTGAGCCCTCTGATGTTGCCACTTTGTCAATCCATCTCACTGAGGGTCTTCCTTTTTTTCTTTGACCCTCCACCTTACCAAACATGATAGACTTCTCCAGAAACTAGTCCCTCTTGACAATATGTACGAAGTATGAGAGACGAAGTCTGGCCATCTTGGCCTCCAAGGAAGGCTCTGGCTGCATTTCTTCCAACATATATCTGTTTCTTCTTTTGGCATCCCATGGTACTTTCAACATTCTCCTTCAACACCATAATTCTAATGCATCAATTCTCCAGTGCCATACCAGGATTTAAAAACAAAAAACAAAAAAGCAACTAATTCTTTAGGTAGATTGATGCCAACTCATTCTTGCATACTTCCAGCTGGCAGGGGCCTTAGTAACTGGGGTTACAATGTTCAATTTCTTCTATTCTGTGATTGTGGGTATTCATAGTCAATCTTATTTCTCATATGGCTCTAAGTTAGGAGAACACACAGAAAGCATACCCATTTTCTTGTAACTTAAATGCTTGACCTGGGTATAAGGGGAAGGATTTTTATCATTGTGCCTCAAGCAGAGGCAAAACAGATGTTTCCTAAAAGAGGGAATAGGTTCAGGGCAACAAAGATATAAAACTAATTTTTTAAAAAGTTTTTATTATGAATTGAGTGATAGTTTATATGGGAGAACTTAGATTTATACTCATCATTTCATTTTCAGTGATTACAATCTCCTCTGTGAATCATCATTCAACAGTATTTTGACATCTATTCACTCCATTTTTGTTTTGTTTGTTGGTTGTTTAAATGATTATATATTCCTGAGTGTTTTTTGACATCTATTCATTATATTTTGACATCTATTCATTATATTTTTGACATCTATTCATACATATTTTGACATCTATTCACTCCATTTTTGTTTTGTTATTTGGTTGTTTAAATGATTATATATTCCTGAATGTTTTTGTGTACATCCTGAGTGTACACAAAAACACTCAGGAATATATAATCATTTAAACAACCAAATAACATATTCTGCAAGCCTGTCTCCTGGCTGCCAGCTCACAGCCTTTCTCTCTCCATGAGTCTAGAGCTCTCAGCTGCTCTCTCTCTCTCTCTCTCTTTCTCTGTGTTATCATCTCTGCTTCCATCTCTGGTGTTGCTGTTTCTTTGGATAGGGTCACACATTCTGCTTGTACTCTTCTCCCTTGATGGTCCTAGGGTCCTCTGTTCCTGGACTGTAAGTAAAATTAACTACTCCCCTCTTTTTATTACAAAACTTCTACCTTTACTGTTGTGATAGTCACAATTAGTCATGATAACAATTATTCACTATTGAATCAAAAGAATCTTATCCCCATCTCCTTTCACCAGACCCGTCTAAACAAGATGAAAACTATTTCAGTGGGGATTGTACCTTCCCCGCACACTCTGAAATGAAACTCCCTCTTGAAAATTTGTAAGCCAGTTACTTCATGCATTTATAGTCTTGAGAGGACTTAATTGCTTGTCTGATGAGTTCCAGGTGAACAACTTTTTGTTCTTATAGTAGCCAATCAGATTGCTTTTTGAGCTTTGGATTTTTCCTGCTGGTCTTTCTTTCAAGAAGTATCTTCTGTTCCTCTAGCTGTTCTAGGCTGGTCTGCTTGTCCTTTCCAGTTGGAATGTCTCACCTCAGAAGGTCCTGGATGGGGCTCAGGATTCCACCTATGGTCCTATACACTACAAAGGCTCGGCAAGAAGCCTATTTCATTGAGCAAGTTGCTGAACCCGTTTTAGGTATTCCAATCAGTTATAGGCTGAAGACGGGCTTACAAGCTTTCTGTAATCGTATTTCCTGATATTCCTTTCTATCCCACTCCAATGTCTATTTTACAATAGTAGGCAAGGGAAAACAATATTCATGAGACAATCAAGCTTCTTAACATTATTTTCCCTTTGTTACCCATTCAGACTATGCCTCAATCTTTGTATCACAGAGCCCTGTTGTTCCATGGTTGAGCATTAGTCATTATTTACTTCTGTCCCATTTAGCCCATGCAAACCTTCCCCTATCTACCTTGCTCTTCCCTCCCTCTCCCCCTTCTTGTGTATTGCCCTCCTCAACACTCAAACCTGTGCTCTGCCCCTCCCCACTCTGTGCTCTATTATCTCTCCCAACCCTTCCCCCCATTAACCTACAAAGATTTATTTATTTATTTTTCCTTTGGAGTATGGGTATCTTTTCTTAAGCTTTTACAATAATGGTTTTATACAATATTTGTCCTTTTGTGACTGACTAATTTCATTCAGCATAATGTCCTCAAGGTTCATGCATTTTATGCAGAGGCTTGCAGTTTCTTCTTATTCTTCAAGGCAACATAATATTCAATTGTGAGGATGTTCCAAAATTTGTTTCTCTATT